TTTTTTCGGAAGAAAAGGAGGATCCGAAAAAAATTGATGAAACGGAAGAAATCCGAGTGAATGGAAAGGAAAAAACACAGGATGAATTCCACTTTCGATTTACAGAGACAAGCTCTAAAAATAGCCCAGTTTATGAAGATTCTTATATGATGAATATCAATGAAAATAACGACAATTCCAAATTCAAAATACTTATCAAAAAACCGGAAATAATTACAAATCAAAACTTCATTGGTGGGCATCGCCAACGACCACCTCCTCCACTGCAATCCGCCACCATCTCAAATTTAATCGAATGCTTGAGTTTGTTTTGTGGGTGAATCTTAATGTACCTTCTGGATGAAGAAATTCAGGCAAACAAAATTGAAGCTCCATTTGTTGTTAAGGTTACTGTCGCGAAAATAATTTGATTTGCAGTTCCATCGAAATTATTGAGATCTTCATGTAATGCTTGAGGTTGTTTTCTATGAGTGGTTCAAAGGGTTAAAGGGCTAACCAGTGGTTTTTGATCTTGATTTGGTCTAAAAGTGGGCGTGGAAGGAGTGTGCTGTATAAGTTTTGAAATAAAATCAAATGACTCCTACCAATCCATGTACAAGGCTTGCTAGTAGGGAAATATACACGTTTGGTTCAAGAATCTGACTAAATAGCACATGTGAATAGCTCATGCTCCCATTTTCATCCATGGCATAAAAAGTCAGTAGTCTGCTGATTGGAAAGAGGTGGAAAATGAGGCCAGTGCGGGCTTGGATTTGCTTTGCTTGGGACATGGAGTTGTAGGACTCTATAAGGAGGACAGTAGGGTGTGTAATTATAAGATTTGGTTTGGGATTTGAATTCTATTTTTTGGAGTTTGACGAAAAGTTCTTGCCAAATTGAAAGGTTAAAGGATTCTATGGGAAGGAGATGAAATCAAAATATATTTCAGTAGTGTGGTACGAGGTTTCATTTGAATACCAAAAATGTTTGATGTAGTGATACAGGCCAAGGGGCTTATTAGTAGAAGAAAGTTGCTTGTAATTTTTTGAAAATTTTGGAATTATGATTGCAATTAATTCAATATTTTTTTTTCTATTTAAATAGAACGATATATTCGTCATTATACAGCTTTTTATAGAGAAAATAGATGCAAAAGATAGTTTCTGCAATGAAAAGTGTAAATATGAGTGAAAATGCAAAAATAAAAATAAAAAAGTAAGGTGGAGACGTTTTGCACAATGAACTTCAAACGTATGGACGTTTTGTGCTAATAAACCTTTAAATTAGCAACATACCATTACTGTCACCTCTTCTGGAAGTTCAACTTCCCAATACAATATGCAAATATAGAAGCAAAAAGAAAAGGATACAAAATCAATACAACAGCAACAATAGGTAATCTGTTATGGTGAAATCCAAAATAATCTCTCAGAAAACCTGATACTGATTTGGATTCTCCAAACACCATAATTTCCTTTTCTATGTCTCCATATTGTGAGGTAAGCATACCATTCAATGTCCAAGATGTAGGAATCAAATAATAAAACCAAATCCACCATTTGGGAATTTGCTGTGAGCCAAAAACAACACGAATATCAGTACCTTTTTTCAACCAGTTTCTGTCAAATGGCACAATAAACAATAATTTAAGGCTATTGGCAGTGAACATATCAGCAATGATAATGCCAAGACATTCTTTATTTAATTTGTTACTTTTACTCTATGACGGTAATGAATAGTTGTTAATTAGTCTATTCTGAATATAACAACTTCGGTAAATGTTGAGCCACAAAACATGCAATGCAAGAACAACTTTAAGGGAAGAATGCTTACCGGGAGAGGAATCAAGAATCCAGCAAACAAGTTGAACATTGTGTAAAAGGTTGACTGTAGAATAGCAGCTACTGGGAAGCTTGGTGTCACCGATATTAAAAACATTCCCAGATAAGTGTAGTACAGCAGGGTACAAAACATAGAGTAGAAATACCAGAAGACCTTGTATGCTGACCAATAATACCCAATCATTGGATATGTGATGATTGTGAATGCGAGTGCTTGGGCTAAGATATATGGAACCTCAATTAAGACCTACAAAATCAAGACAGTGAATTCTTTGGATTGATGAACCTATAGCACTAATAATCTACTCACAATTTGTTTCGAATATGTAATAATGCTTGACACCGAGGAACCAAATGGAAATTTATAACGGTATCTATGAAATGGATATTGAAAAAAAGCATTGTGGCGTGTTTGGTAAGGTGGATTAGATAGCACTGGACACTATTAAGAAATAAAAAAGAAGTTAAAATGTTATCCACTCAAGAATTCAGTATGTTATAATACTATCACTAAAATGCACTTGAAGAATATGGCTCGAAGCAAACAAATTTTTTCGCAAAATAGGTGGGTTTGAGGTTTCGAAGACAAAGTCAGTTAATGTAGGTAGCATCATCCGAAATTGTCTACAGTTTAGTAGTTTTGTAAATAAAAATTCGACGAACTTCCTAAACTCCAGATCTATACTTGGGCGAGACTTCATTCAAGACAAAATCAAGCACGGGTGATTTAATACCTGTGCAGCTGGATAAATCCATGGTGCATACATTCCAGCAAATCTTTCTCTGTAGAAAACAGTTCGCTCTGTACTAATATACGGCAACACTGAAGAGGAATTATTTATGCCACAGAAGAGTGTGGCACTGAACATTGAACCAAGTATAGTGAATAGACTCTGCTGATTATGTCTAACAAAACAGAATGAAAGCAATGATTCTAGTTAGATTCTTTAAAGAATTTGTGGACGATAAATCTAAAAGGAATTCAGGCTGCTAGAATTTAGTCAACAGAGTTGAGAGCATGTTACTATTCCCCTCTGAGAGAAATGTAGTCACCTATGGTGAAAAAAAAAAAAAAAAAAAGATCCCAGCCAAATCAATTCTCTGCAGATTTATTGTTTTTCAATAGAAACCCCATCTTGCAGGGATAAAATTGAACACGTTAAATAACCTTCATTGAACAGACTAAGTGCAACAAACTTGTTCAAACATCCTTTGAACAGGTTAGTCGCTTGAGCATTTTCCTCTGGACAAAATATTTCTTTGTGCGCTCTTCGTTCATTTAACATCATTTGAAACCAAAATCTTTGAACATTATTTATTATTTTGCTTGCTAAAGTATATGGAAGATCTAGACCCACTTTGAACACCCTCCAAACCCTCAAGAGAGAGAGAGAGAGAACAATACAGAACAAAAAAAGAAAAAAATATTCTTCACGACTAGGAACTAGATATATATATTCAAAAGTTTAATTTTCGGACATAATGATTAATCATGCTATCGAGTTTTATGCAATATTTCCACTTACATTTTTCTCCCTTGATCCCAGAATAGGACTCCAAAAAGCAAGGATGCAAATAGCATATGAATTGAGCGCATTAAGTTATACGAAGGACTTCTCCAGTAAGACCAATGCTGCTTCCAGAGGCAGGACTTGAATTGTCCCCAACCATTTTGTGAATAGTGGGTTGGGAAATGCAAATCTTGTGAACCAGGAGGTGGGGTGCTCAGCTTTCTTACAAGCTCTTTATTATCCCTACGAGCAACATAATAGAAGAATGATTCTTGCATAACATACATATCTTGCGCTTAAAAAGTTGATATCAAAGAGTATGGGCAAATCAATACCTGAAGCATCACGATCTATTTATAATACCAAAACAAACCAACACTTCAAACCATTCAGAGAAAGTAGAAAATGTAGTGTCTAATGATCTCAAACTGAAGTTCCAGATCAAATTGAATTCATTCAATTACTGTGAAACATCTACGTATGTTATCAACTGTTTGAACACAAGATGTAATTGTTAAGAAATATAAGGTTAAAAATATGGCTATTTTATTTTATTGTTTATTAAGGGTAGAATAGTCTTTTCAATTTCTTTTGTTTAGCCTATATATAGTTTCTTTGTTTCTAAGTTAATTCCTTCTTTGTATTCAATTGCATTATGCAGAATTAATGAAACCATAGCCTCTTTTTCCTTTTTTTTATTTCTTTGGATTATTTAACAGTAATATCACCTAGGAAAAATAATTGTAAATATTCCCATATAATTAACCATCCATACGACCAGGCTTTTCTTCCTAAATGAATTTCGTTCATATTTACATTAGGTTTTATATTGTAATTGAACACGATCAAGTTCTTCTCATGATGATATTGGCCGTCCTACCAAAATTCAGAGCCAACAACTATGGAAAGGTCAAATGTCTATAATTTTTTATGGAAAAATGAAAAGATATTGTCACATATAAAATGTCCTTACCTTAAAAAAAAGTCGAATGTGATTTCTCAAGAAACGCAAGAAAATGCTTCTTCCCACAATCTATATCAATATTGTTTTCTTTTTGCAATAGTTTATCCAATTTGTCCAAATGAAATGCATTTTCTTGGATGAAATTAGGATATGCAAATCAGTGATCAGTAGATTTATGTTTTCTCCATCCTTTATGCAGCCTAAGCAATATGTCAATTAGAATCAAATACACGAGTTCCCTGAGATCATCAAACATGAGAACGATCCCAAAAACTAGTTATGAAAACTGTTGATTAGCAAACTACCTAGCATCAAGTGTCACAGATAATTTGTTCAAAACTAATAGCAACATGAAAAGCTCTTTGTGGACTTACCCATACAATGCAGATTGCTTATAAATCTGGGCAAAGTCTAGCCCAAGTTCAGCTTCTGAAGAAGTGGAAGTGACCTCTAACATCCATGTAGCTGGATTGAAGTTATCTCTAATTTTTGGCACACCTGAGATGCTCTGTTACATAATGAAATGATAAGAGAAACAAGATCTCTACAGTCGAAGGAAGAGGCATACAATTTTACTTTTAAGTCAGCTAATCAAACAAAAATTAAACTTCTCATATAGATGTTCTGCTGCTATGGAAACTCACCTCAAAATATCGAATTACTTCACAGGAATGCTGGCCTAAAGGCCCACAGTAGATCATGTGTCCTCCAACTTTCAAGAGAACTAACTGTAGATATTAAGGTAACATTATATGAATACGTGACAATCCTATTGATCACATTTGTATAGAATTATTTGAGAGATTTGTTAATTTTTAACTAAAATCAGGTGGAGGAATATATTTAAAATTTCTAAAAAAATCAATGCACAGGAATATCAATCAGAACACTCCAATGGTAAAGGCAGCATATTGTACTTGACCCATACTAAAATAGGCTTTATTTTTCAGATCATCAGGGAAAGTTTTTATTCGCTTATCTCAGTCAAGAGAGAATGCTATAGCTTGAGCTGTAAAGGACGAATGTGTATATATTGAAAATTATTAGTCTATAGAAAGTGGATTGGCGTTTGAAGTGTAAAATATGTTATGCATGTCGAAGAATGTAAAATGGGAAATGAAGATGGACTTGAGTAGCTTGTGCAAATAGTATTCCCACAGTTAGTAGAAGAGTATTCATATGCTGGCTTTTTCTTGTACACTGTAATTAAAGATAATAAAAGATCAGTTTTTTTTCATAAAAGCATTTTTCTGTAATATCCGAAAATTTCTCTAAATGTGCAGGGCACTTAAAGTCAGTTACCTCATCAAATGCTTCAAATATATCGATACTCGGTTGGTGAATGGTGCAAGCAATTGTCCTCCCAGTATTTGCTACATTTTTTACTGCCCGCATAACAATTGCAGCTGCTCTAGCATCCAGTCCAGTTGTAGGTTCGTCCATAAAGATAATGGAGGGGTTGGCAACGAGTTCCACAGCTATCGTGAGCCGCTTGCGTTGCTCAGTTGACAGACCGCTAACACCAGGCATGCCCACTAACGTATCTTTAATTCCATCAAGCTCAATGGTTTCAAGGACTTCTTTCACAAAGTCCTATAGAAGGGCCACAAAAAATTAATAACTACACTAACAGGAAATGGAAGCAAAACCATACACAAATTGAATATAAAATCTGATGGCATACATATTTTGTATTCAAATCGATCTGGGGATGCAGCCGTAACCATGCAGAAAAAATAACTGATTCTTCAACAGTAATTTGAGGGGAATGTATGTCAGTTTGCTCACAGTAACCAGAAATCCTAGCAAATGTTCTTTGAACTTTTGGATGCCCTCCAATTTTTATTTCTCCTTCCACTGTGCCACTAGTTTTTCTACCAGCAAGAACATCGAGAAGAGTTGTTTTCCCAGCTCCACTGACACCCATAAGTGCTGTAAGAACACCAGGTCTAAATGAACCAGTGATATCACAAAGAAGTCGCAGCTTTTTCTGAGTGAAACCTCGCTCCTTCATTGCCTGAAATAAACAGATGGAACGAAAGTACACGTAAATCGCAGTGGCTTTTAAGTAAACCAAAATAAATTCTATTTTGATTGATTTATGTAGTTACCATTGGGGTTTCAACATAGTATTGCACATCTTGAAACACTATGGTTTGGGGTTCAAAAGGTAAAACCATTCTGTCTGCAACATAAGACATAACTTTTAACTACAGCAACAATTTACAACAACAAAGGCATATAATAGAATTCTTGAATCAATAGCAATATATTTCCAAGCAACAGAAGAGAAAAAATCCAACCTCTACGAGATTTTGTACTGGTGCTAGGGGAATTTTTGGACTGTTCTGCATGGGCTTCGCTAACATATTCTTCTCTTCCTTGAAGTTGTGAGAGTTTTTCACTTGAAATAATTGCACGAGAACCAGAAGCTGGAAGCATTTTGGAATGCGAATAAATAATGTACATCATTTATATTTGCTCAATATAATGAAGATATTCTTACGTTTTAAGAAACTCAAGGCCAAGGTAAACCCAATGTTGAACAGTATCGTAAACCCAAACAATGCACCAAGTGATACCCAAAAAAAATGTCCACCAAAGCTTAACCCACGGCTTTCAAGTGTTTCCTGCCCTACTGTGGTCTCACCAGAGAGCTCCTGCATTCAAAAAAATTTATGAGCATATGAATATCGATCTTCTAATGATTTTTTTGAAACAAATACAAAACCCTTAAAAGATGGTAGATGGCTGCAACAATAATTGATTCCATGCCATATTTCAAAAATGCCAGTCAAAATTGAGTCAGTTAGTGACCATCACGTATGCTTCTTGAAATGTCTCATGACAGTTATGGAAAACAGAGATATAATGACAAAGTTAAAAGGAAGATTGTTTTTCTCTGAAAGAGGAGTGGATGTAGATGACGGTTGGAATTCACGGTAGGATAATTAGAATCTTGCTAAATTATTACATTGGCGATTGATTTTAAAGATTATATATAGACAATATTGATAAATTGCACAGTTGAGTGAAACAAATAACCAAAAAAGATGGAAGTTGTTATCCTGTGTAATTGATTAAGTATTCTTCCAAAAATCAGAACTAGTAAAATTAAGTCGATAACTGTATGTCTATAGACATTAACTAAAAGGAGATAACGTTGGTCAAATGAAGAGGAGCAAACAACTTGTGGTTTTACAAATGTTGAAGACATTATTTAAATGATGTACACGTGGTCCTATCTAACAAGTTAAACTTTTAGATCAAATGATTTAACATGACATCAATGCATAATAACATCTCCGAGTTCAAGTCTGACTACCATCCATTGAAATGAAATTGTTCACATTTTAGGCTTCGATGGGGAAAAAACAAATCCACCTACATTTGGGGGGCATATTGAAGAATATATTTAAATGATACACACGTGACCCTATTTAAGAGCTTAGCATTTAGATCGGGTGATACAATAATGCACTCACTTTTTGCCATCTTGGAGCCAGAAACTCATTCACCGCAAGACCTATCTCGCCATATGATAGTGGAGAAACCCAAAATGCCCACTTTAACCAACTTGGCATGGATGCTGCAAGAAACACTATAGCTTGAAATTTCTTGTCCTTTTTCCCCATTATTCAGTAGTGAAATGTATACTATGATTAGCTGTATGATGAAAATAAATTAGATAAGGATGTTTAGCTTGCTCACCTTTTGGGATCAGAAAGCCACCAAAGAGTAACAGAATTAATAGTGACAAACTACCGGCTGTTGTAGATGCAACCACTGACCGGCACATACTTGCCAAGAAACGAAACATAGATGTTGAGGTCAAGTGCACGGCAAATAATAATATCATTTGGCGGAAAAACCTGGAAAATAATGACATTTGGTTATAATTTGATTCATCATTATCATATGATTGTTTTGTTATCTCGATGAGTTGTTGATTGAAACTGCCAAATCGCGTGGAGAATACAGGTAGAAAGTTGGAATATTGTCACATGTCACTAACCTCCCTGCCTCTGGGCTATACCCAATAGTGTAATAAGTAAGAGATGTCCAGACCAGAGCTTCCAACAACGAGAGAGGAATCTTGAGAATGGTGGCTGGTATGGCATATGCCCAGGCCGGATAGAAGTAAAAATCTCTCTGCTTGTAGAAAACTGCTAGCCTTGAAACAGTCATAGTAAGCTCTGGGAATCCATCAACAAGAAGAATGACGAGAGCATAAAATAGAGATCCCAAGTAATAGTTGGCATGGACAAGATCAACGCCCATCCGAGTCCGCAAGAATACGGTCATAGTTATAGATGCAATAATGACAAGCTGCAAACCAATATATACTCGAGATTTCATAACAATGATTATTAAAGATATGTAAGTTAGAATTTATATAGCCAGTGATTCATAAATTAATTTGAGGAGCTGAGAAAATTAGTCGCGCTAACCTGAACAGCTTTGAATACATAAATGAAAGAATTCCTTTTCATGAGAAGAATTTCTCTGGACATACAGGCTTTAAAGAGATCCCATTTAGGAAGAGAATACACATTAAAACTAATGGCATTTTTTTGGCTCTTTAACTTCTCAAATGGCACCGAAAGCTCTTCGCTAAGCTTCTTTCCGTAAGAAGATTCCTTATATTTCATTGACAACATATCTACAGAAATGAAACTGTAAGTTCGCTCAGTTTTACACCAGTACTGTTCCTGATCTTTTCTCGAGATAACCTGTAAACCATTCAACATGTGATTATTTTTTGCTTAATAAACAAAAAACTGAATAATATTGATAGTGACATGATGTACTTGCCTCTTGCAGAAAATCAGCTACTCCTTTCCTTTCTGGACACCTAAATCCACAATCCTTAAAAAATTCTAAAACATCACATCGAGGCCCATGATAGACAATTTTTCCCTCTGACATTAAGATGATGTCGTCAAAGAGGTCAAAAGTTTCTGGTGCAGGCTGGAGAAGGGACACAAGTACGGTAGCGTCTGCAATGTGTGCCAGTTGTTGAAGACAAGCAACAATCTGATATGTAGTCGAGCTGTCCAATCCGTTTGAAATTTCATCCATAAATAATGCTTTCGTAGGTCCAACAATCATCTCACCTGCATAATCCATCCTTACCAACTTCACAATATATATGCATTTTGAAAAATTATTTTTAAGTTCAGATGGTGGTGGTAGTGAAAGTTATTTTGAGCCTCTTTTGTATGTCAGAAATTACAAGAGGAGCATTGTCAACCAAAGATAAAAAATATTGGCATCAAAATACCTGCCGTCAGTCTTTTCTTCTGACCTCCAGAGATACCTCTCCTCATGGCATCTCCAACGAGCGTGTCCGCACAGATATCAAGACCGAGAATCTGAAATTTGTGGGAGTAATAGGAAAAGTTATCAACACATGTTCTAGCAGAAGACGTCAAGATTAAATTCAACACTACATCTAATCAGATAATACTTTTAATATGTAGTCTGTTTGAAGAGTTGTCTTTTGTCCTTCAACAGCAATTGCCTGCACAAATAAAGTTGCATTAGCACTCTACAGTATTAAAGATTACAACTCAGTGAAGATCATTGGCGAATTGTGGAGAGATTCTACCCCTCAAATGAATTTTAGCCGAGTCAAATAGACTCAAGTATGTGTAGATGTGCATTGAATAGCTATGAGATTAACTGCCTA